TTGTTATTTTAGGTTTCTAAGTAAGTAGTGTTACAATATAATTTATAATAACACAATACAGTACGGCATATAATATACGAAAAGTTTGTAATAAACCTGTATTAGAGTTTTCTTAAAACAATACAGTAGTATAACTTAAATATATGAATATACAATATACATAATAATATGTTCAATTTATAATGAGAAATAATATTAAATAAGAGACAGAGAGAGAGAGAGAGAGAGAGAAAGAGAGACTATATTATAATACGAAGAATTATTGTTATCATCATGATTGTACTTTATCTAGTCGTGGTTGATATTTTTACTGTCGTGATCTTAATAAAAAAATTGAGAAGATAAAAAAAAAAGGAAAATAAAATGAAGAATACACTCATGACGATGATGACAGCGACAACGCTTAATACTTTTGACATTGAAATGAGAAAAAAAATTAAAAAAAAATTATAAAACAAAAATTCAAAACTTGATTTTTAATAATTTTGCCTTTATTATGTGTGTGCAGTTTATGCTCCTAATATTATGCTTTTATTATTATAAAATGCAATATGTATATTTCGACAACAAAGGAAGAAAAGACAAGAGAGAGAGAGAAGAGAAGAATACAAAACGAGGTAACAGAGAAGAAACTAATTTTCTTTTCTATTATTTTTTTATTCTTATTATTATTATTGCTGTTGATGCTGTTCTTTACTGTTATTTTATTTGAGGAAGTTTTAAGATTATTTTTTGTTTTTCTTTTTTTCATTTTTTCTTTTCATATTTTGATTATGTATTTTGTCTCATTTTTTTTTTTTTTTTTTTGTTTTTTTAACCTTTATCCTCATCCGGCTTTACACTCATATTTTATATTTTTTTTTCGTTTTGGTATACAATGCTTGTATACCAAAACGTGTGTACATATCATATAACAGACCTAACATACATACATATATGGTCATTGAAATTATAAGGTTATCTGGATACCATGGACATGTTTAGAATTTTTAAAAAGTATAGGAAAAAAATCTTTTTTTTTTCTTTTCTTTCCTACATATTTTCTTTAGATTAATATATTGGATAATATTATATATTTTGCATTATATACAATATAATAGTGTGTTTATATGTGTATATATATCGGTGTGTACAGGAAAACGTAGAGAAAGATGAAGAAAAAAAAACAAGAAAGAAAAAATGATTTCTTAGATGAAACTATTTATTTGCTTGGTTGGTACTAAATTGAAAAAAAAAAAAAAATAGGAAGAAAAAAATAAATGTTTTTTATGAGAAGAATTTTATAAAATTTTCCTAATGATTTTCTAACTTTAAATGAAAAAAAAGGCAAGACAGAGAAGAATTATAGAAAAACCTAAAAGAGAAGAGAAGAAGAGAAAAAAAAAAACAAATTCCTTTTTTGTTTTTTTTTTTTAAATTTATAAACCAGAAGAGAAGCATAAAAAACAAAACGAACAACAAAAAAAATATGTAGAAATTAGAGTTTGGACTGGTTTGTTATGTTAACTGAAGAATATTCTTGTGGTGAGAATGGATAATGAAAATTTTCTTTATTGAAGTGGCTATTAATCTAATTTTTTTTTTTTTGTGCTCTCTGTTTGTAATCAGTATATACTAAAGTATATTATGTAAGTATTTTTATATAGTATACATATATGAGAATATTTTCTTTTTTTTTTTTTAGGGAATATTGAAAAATTAAGTTCCTCTATTCTAAAAATTCATTTATAATGCAAAAATAGAAATTTTATTTGCAAAAATACTTTATTACAGTAATATGTCTATCAGGTTTTTTTTTTGTTTTCGAAAATGTAAATTAAAAATTGGGTAGGTATTTGTGTTGTTTTCGAAACTTGTGCATATTTACATAATAGAACTACAAATTCTCATAGAAATGAAAAGGATGGAAAAAAATTGAGAATAAATCATTATTTTCTTAAATTATCGAAAATAATTTAGTGAAATATTAAAAAATTGATTTTTGAATAAAAATTCAACTTATTATAATGAGTTTAGAAATTTTTTCCCTAAAAGTATGCAATTTTTTATATTTTATATAATATGCAAAAAAAAATTCGAAATTGATTAAAATAATGTTTAAAATTATTTTAAACTTGTAAAATATTATTTAAAATTAGGAAACAACAGTTAATAAGCTATATAAATATCTAAAATTCTAAAGTAAATGGGAAGTCATTAACATTTAACATTAAAACAAGAATTACACGGTGATCGGTTTCTGCCCTACATCAATGATATAATGTACACATTCTGATTTTTTTTTGACATTTGAAATTTTACAAACAAGATAAGTATAAGCAAGTGGAAAGGAACAGAAAACCTCTTTTAAGTTTATTTTGCAACTTATAGTTAAAACTAATCTTTCTTACAAATTAATAAAGGAAAGGGAAACTGAGAGGGAAGAGAAAAGGGTTTGTTAGAATAAAACCTTTAATTTTTTAAAAAATCATTATACGTTAATAGCACATATCTTTTAACACAATGTTAATTGAATAACATTTCTTAAACTCCAATTAGCTAGTTAAAAACATTTTTTTTTTTGTAAATTATACCGTATTCACTAAAATGAAATTTTCTTTCAATTTAAATGGCTCGTATAAGATAATTATTATTGAAACCATTATTTTTTTTTTCCTTTTATAAAATCAGATTATTGATCAAAGGGTCTTGAGTATTATTATTTTATAATCGCTTAAATGTCTATTTCAAAATAGCAAAAGATTAAAAGGAAATAATAGTACAAAGTGATTTTCACAAAAAAAAAGAAAATTGAGAACTTTGTGAGAATTTTTTAATTTAATTTTAACAAAGAATAATAATGTACTTCTAATGGGAATTGAGATAATGTTATTATATTAAGAATATACATATAGGCAGAGAAAGGTGAAAATGAAAAAATCTCATTATAAATGCTTTCAGTAAAAATTTGTATAGATTTGATATAGGTATATATTGTGAGAAATTTTTCGAAAATTAAATTATTTTTCAATAAAATGTTAAAGAATTTAAACGTAGAATACTCGTATGTATAAACAGTGACAAGTTCCAGTGTAAAGAGAATACTGACACATAGGCTCAAATATTTATAACTTCCATAGTAATAATAGAAATCTTGAAATTTTAAATTTAATATATAAAAAAAAATTACATTTCTATATAGAACAAAGGCATAATTTGCGTCTACTCGGAGCACATGAATTGATTTCAATCTCATATCAAAAATTAATTATCCCTTTTTTTTAATATATTCATTTTATGTAGACTAAATTATGCATATGGGACGAATGTATGTTTTACATTTGCATGCTAAATGAATTTTATTGCAGAATGTAGACAGAATTTAAATAAACAATTTTTATTATATAAGAATAAATTTTTAATTATTTTGCATAAGAACAAAAAAAAAATGGAAGTTAAAAATAAGATTTTTTTTTTATAAAAACACAATTTACTTTTTTTTTCATATTTTTATTATTTTTTTATAATATTAAAGTAAAAAAAAAAATATAAATTTTCACCACAATATTCTTGCAGTAGTCTGTCATTTAAAAGTGTGGTTATAGTTTTACTGTCCACATAATTGTATATTATTTTTTGGTTATATTAAAATTCTTTTTAAAGAAAAATCATAAATTAAACAGGGTTATACGAATGGTATTTGAAAAAGTTTGAGGTTTTCAGTTCCAATTCATTCAAAATAATTGATTAATTCGAGTTTCTAACTTAAAATGACAAATAAAAGCCGAGTCATTAGCTTAACCACTACCAATTATTTTTGTCGCTCTCTCTAAAGTTTGGAAAGAGAGAGAATAAGAGCTTCAAGAAGAGGTTTGAAAAAAGTTTTATTCAAAATCTAGTTTTAAACAATTTTTGTTTGATGTAATTTGAACGCCTATGCCAAAATTTTTGCTGCGTGAAATAATGTTATGATTGAAAGCTTTTACTGATTATCGGTAATTTTCACTGATTATTAATGCTTGTCAACTTAGTAAGTACTAAATTCTTTGAATAATTTTACTTGCATCGTCATGAACTTCAGAAATAATTAAATTTTTTTGTTTTTCAAAAATTTTTAATCCTCTAAATGTGATTAAGGGAAGAAATATAACCGAAGTAACTAAAATATACGAAACAGATTATATGACCTGGGTTCTTCGATTACGACTAGACAAAATCAAATAATTCAAAGAAAAGCGCATAAATCCTTATTTAATCTGAGCAAATTTTTGAAGTTTTCGTTCGAAACCCTCATATAAATTGTGAATGTGCACAACTCATACGTATGTTAGCAATTATGCAAAATTAAGCATGAAAACTTATATTCTATAACAATTATGGATAGCTACTGGTCTTTTAATTGTTTTCTTTATTATTGCAACTGTACTTGTATAGCTATAATTATATAAGGGACTCAACTGTTATACTACTGGTAGCTATATAATAATAAGAGGTAAAATAAACAATAAATCATAAATAATATTGCATATACGTTCGAAAAGTACAATTAAGAGACAAAATACTACTATACATTATTTGTGTATGAATGAAAGAAAAATTAAGAGAAAAACTCAAAGAGATGAAGGGAGAGGAAATTTATAAAGTAGGTATAAGAAAAGAATTATACACGAATAAAAACATGAAATTAAAAAAAAAAAATTTAATTTTTTCTTCTTTACTCTTTTGTTCTTGTCTCGTTTTTCCTCCTTTAATTTTAAAAGCTAATGGTGTCCTTTGCTCTTTTATTTCAAATTTAAAAGTCACATTTTTATTGCTATTGTTGTTTTTGTAATATTTTTACAATATTACTGTTATGAATTTGTTTGTAGAATACGGAATGTAATTATGGTCATTTTTTTTATGGTTTATAAATTTTTATTATTTTTTTTTTTTTTGCCTTACTCTAGGTCCAAATATTTTCTACTTTATTTTATAATATTTTTTTATATATATAGTTTGTATAATAGTATATTGCTACTTACTTGCATCATCATTAATTATTGAATTGCCACCATTTAATCCCAATGCTGATAATTCAGATGGTTGCAATCTTATTTCCATCTCATGCAATTTACTGTTCAAATTTTTTGTATGCATAAATAGGAAGAATGTACATGAAACTGCAATTAATGCAACAAATTCAACGGACCTATAAAATATAAAAATAAAAAATATATTTACACTTTTTCTCAGTTATAACAGTGATTATACATTTATGAAATTGTATATATGAGCTTGTTTATATATATGTATATATTTAGTTTATATTATGTGCATTTTTTAAAAATTATGTTTTTTAATAAAGCAAAATAAATACTAGTATAATAAAAGAAAAAGATGAACAGCAGAATTGTGTACAATTGTACAAACATAAATAATATATGTAAAAGTATATATTATATATAAAGTAATAATAATATAAGGTAAAAGGTATGTAAAAATAAACAATAACATTTTGTTATGTTAAAAATAAAAGTAAAATAAAAAGTAGACTTAACAAAATGTGAAATAACAATAACAACCGTATGAAAATATTGAAATAATTAAAAAAGTAAATAAAACACGGAATATAAAAAAAATATGAAATTATATTACATATGCACATACATGCATATCTACATAAATTAAAGACCGAAATTTATGTGGAAAAATAATTTTTCAGTTACATCCATGGTTAGTCTGGTAAACTTGAAGGATTACTTATTAAACAATTTAGAACACTATGATTATCGAATGAAATTTTTTACATACATTTATATGAAAAATTTTGTAACAAGTTTACAATGACTTCAATTATTATTAATTCTCTTGATTGAGTGTTAATTTGCACTGCACTGAAGCAATTAGTCTGATTTTCAATCGTAAACTCATTGAGCTCAATAAAATACACGAACTCAATTCTCTTTTACTCGCCATAATGTATAGACAATTTAGAAGTTATTCGAAAAATCTCAGTTAGAAATATGTGAAAGAGAGATTCTGGTATAATCTCTTGAAAATTTTCAATATAAATTTTTAATACAAAACCGATTGCAATAACGTGCATTATTCTTTTGTATTAGAAATTTCGAATTTGTATTAAGTTCAGCCACTCTTTAAAAAATATATTATCATACAACTTTTCAAAATATTACAGAATCTTCATCTTAGAAAAAGTGAAAAATTTCGAAAATTATTTTTACATTTCACATGTTTGGCATCACGAATTTTATAACACACATCATATAAAATTTTCAATTATTTTATGAAATATAATTAAAAAATCCAAGTGCATATAAAGCAATGCAAAAATGGACCTACTTGCGCGTTGAATTTTATTTGTGTTCTAGAATATGCAAAAAAGGGGTTTTTTAAATTAAAAATTTATCAACAACTTTTTTGTTTTCTTTTTGTTCCTCCTCCACATATTATTATTTATGGAAAAAGTTGTTTGGTTATTTTAAATTTGGTCTTTGTTTTTCGTGTGTTTTGACTAAATTTTAATATTTTTTTTGTTATTTATTATTCTTACACTTATATTATAGTTAAAAATAAATTTAGAGCTACCAAATTTATTACATTAAATAGTGCATTTTTAAAAAAATCCAAGACTTAAATAAATATTTTGAGAAGAAAAGAGAGATTTTTCTACGTAAGCATTGTGTTTAAAAAAACAGGTTACTCAAAATTATTAATTTCACGTAATGCTTCTTCTTAGTGAAACAGTTCTAAGTGAACAAATTAATAAAATATTGCCAACGGTTTTGGATATAAGTCAAAATGTGCCCCAAATTTATTTAAAAACGGACTCTAAATATCTGCACAATTAAATGAGAAAGCGAAAAACAGTTACATATTCTGAAAGATCATCCTTGGAAACCTATAACATTGTGTTCTTCATTCAGTTAAATATTAATCATCAAAAATCACGTAAGGGTTCAAAATTGCACTCGGGCGATGAGTTGTTTAATGGAAATTTTAGTTTTATACCAAATTTATTGTAAATAGCACATTTGCGAAAAAAAGAGTCGTACCGCCTGTGTCACTATATTAAATTTGGAAGTATAGTTTCGGAAAGTAGATACCAGACTGATGTAATCTGGCCATTAAACTACATTTTTACAACTAATTTATAATTACAGTAATTCGAAAAAATTTGAGCTTATTTTTTTTTTGGAATACACAGATAGAATATTGTGTAAAATATTTGCATTAAATTATAAATGAAACACGTACATAAAATGTTCTATAAAATGAAAGTCCCTTAATTACTCTGGGTAAAAAATTTTGTGCTTTTTTTTTTTATACTACGTACATACATGCTTTGAATTATCCTTTAATGCTGAGGTAAATGAACAGGCAGCAACAGCACATTGGCGGATTATTTTTCATCTCATTTTTTCACATTGTTCCATTTTTTTCTTTATTTTATTTTTATTTACAATACAATATTAAAAAATCATTCACACAATTCCTTTATAAATATGATTTTTTATATAAAATTATACTCGTATGTATAATAAAAACAATTAAGGACATACAGAAATTAAAAAAAATGAAGAGGGTAACAAAAAAAAAAATTCAAATAAAATATTAAAAATAAATGTGACAAATAAAAATGAGAAGTGAAGAATCGTAAACAAAAGTAAAGTAAGAGTAGAGTTTCGGCGATAGCCGCACTAAAAATCTTTTTTTAAAGTGTATAAAAAATGTTGGTTATGAATTAAAAAATTTTTACTCCTTTTTTACGCTTATTTATTCATTCTCATAAATTAATTTATTTAAGACAAGGTTTGGAGAGAGACAAAGAGAAAAAAAATTGTTAATATTAAATGACCTATTTGTTATTGCATCATAAAATTTTCTCATCTGAATTTTGATTTATTTTTGGACTTTTTAAAGAAGTGATAAAAATTAAATTTTCTTAAAAGTGTTATTTTCCCGTTTTTTCATCCGAAAATATTACAGTAGTTCGAAACAACAAATTTAAGTCAAGATTTAATCAGCTTTCACTAATTATTGAATCAAACATCTCTTACTTTTAAAAAAACTTGTTTCACTTTTCACACCAGTCCTGTTCTTCTTTAATTTTCTTAATTTTTTTTACAAGTTTCGTTTCTCTTTCCTATAACAAATTAAACTTGTAATTTTGTAATTTGTCAATTAAATTAGAATTCAAAATATTTTGAGACAAACTTAAGAATCTTCTAGCACAAACACAAATTTTTTAAGTGTCCGTTTTTCTGCCAATGATTCATTGATCTTCGAACTGTTCATTTCATATAAAAATGTGCGTTTATATTAAAAGTGATAAAATTTTAATCACTTTTTATTTTATATTTGTTTTTCTTCCAAATTTAATTTGAATTTCACATAAACAATTAAAAATATATTCACCTTTCTCAGTAGTGTGGAAATTAAGTGTCTACTTTTAATTTAAAAATGAAGAGAAGAAAGATATAGATGAATAGTGTGGATAAATCCAATGAAGGAAGAATATCTGTTTAATGTTTGTTCAATGTTCTATAATAAAATAAGAGAAAAATTCTCTCATATTAAAAGTTCGTGTACCTATATTAATATGAGATTGATTCTGTATCCAACATTCAGTAAAGAAGGAGTTTTCAAAACGAGAAAAATTGTAAAACTGAAATCAGTTCCAGTACAAAATATTCAAATACAGAAAGAGAAATTATTTAAGTCAAGAAGAGTAGGTGTATTTTAAATATATAAAAAAATTTTTTCTCAGAATTGTTAATAAAATATACCAAAAAGAAAAAAAAAAGGATGCCGGAATTCAATATTGTGGTGAAATCCAAATGGTAAAAATTAAATTTTATTTCTCTTTTTTTGTCATTTAAAATGAAGTACAAACAATTCTTTTTTATTTATTCAGCCTATTCAATTGATTTATATTATATTTATATTATGTACAAGTATTCTGAGAATGAAAACGTCATTTGGGTTTGTTGGTAGAGTTTTTGTCAATATTTGAAATATTTAAATTCTACTCTTTTATTTTTAATCTCAGTTGTTATTATTTTATTATTGCACGACAACAACAAAAAAAAAGAAAGAGAAAAAATATTCTCTTTTTTTTTGCTTTCTCTCATAAAATTAATTATTTAACTGGAAATATTGTTTGTAAAAGTTAACAAATTGATAAAAATCGACAAAAAAAATATTAATGTTATTGCTTGAATGAAAAAAAAAACAAGAGAGAGAGAGAGAGAGAAAAAAACAATAACCAATGTTTTTTGAATGAAAAAGCAATAAAAATTTTTTGTTTTTATTGTTTGAGCTTTTCTTAATTTTCATTTTTATGTTATGAGGGCTAAAAGTTGAACAAATATGAAATTTTTTTTTCTCTTTGTTGTTTTTAATTGTTTTTTTTTGTTCTTAAAATGAAAATATGAAATTTTTTTTCAATTTAATAGAAAAAAAATCAAAAGATGAAAAGGCAAATCGTTTATTTTAATTCTAGTGTCATGAAAATTATTTGGGTTATATGAGAGATGTGTTTGAAACAGATTAATCAATAAATTTTATTATGAAAAATTTTTGCATATATAATTTTTACATTTTGATATTGTGTTGAATAAATATGAAATTTATTCTAAAAAAAAAAGGGAGACCGAAAAGAGTGAGAGGGAGAAAAAAAATAGTGAAAACGGGTTCGTGTATGAGCTGGAATTTTTAAAAAAAATTATGTAATTAAATTGGTTTATTCTCCTTGCAGTTCTTCAGTCATATTTGAAATACTGCATAGATTAAGTTCTCCTCTGTTTAGAAAAAATTGTTTTAGAACCATTCTCTTGAATTTTGCAATATTTGTTTTTTGAAAACATTCTGGACTGTTCTGTATTTCAAATGGAATGGAATTTTGAATAAAAAATGAATTTGGATTTTACTCAATTTAAAAATTTTATGCAGCTGCAATATTTTATACGAAGACATTAAAACCGACGAGACCGAAACAGCAAATTTTTAAATGAATTCGAATAGCATTTTCAGTAATTTATTTTTTGGTATTCAACTAAAGGTTGTTTAAGGGTTAGTTACTATATAATTACACTAACATTATTGAAACACAGCCCCAGAAAATACAATTTATTTTCGCTTAAAATTCTCCAATTTTTTCCTCGTGCAATTGCAATAATATTTTTCG